ACTGTAGAAAGCCTTGGCAAAATCTAAGTAAATATTGTCGATATTTCCACCCCGTTCCAGAATATGGGTCCAAATATCCAATACCTTGAGCAATTGTGTTAAGCAGGAGCGCCCCGGCACAAAACCGTGTTGGCAATCCTATACAAGGTTGTTTCGTAGTAGATGTTTCATTGCGACATCTCTGATAATACTCTCAAGTACTCTACATATTATGCTGGTCAGGCTCACCGGTCTATAGTTGTTCGTGGAGTGACGATCGCCCTTCTTGAAGATAGGACTCACATAAGCCACTTTCCATTCACTGGGGACCTTTTGTTCATCCAGGCATTTACAAAACAGGATCTTCAGGGGCTCGGCAAGCTCGTTGTACAACTCTCTTAGCACTCTAGGATGCACCATGTCAGGGCTGGGACTCTTATGGACCTTTAGCTTTGACAGTTTATTTCTAATACCCTCTTCTGTGAACACAATGTGGGTCAGCATTGTGTGGACCCTTCTGTCCTCAAACACAGGAAGATTAATCGCATCCTCCCTTGTGAACACCGAGGAAAAGAAGCTGTTCAATGCCTTAGCTTTATCCTGGTCAGAATCTGCGTAACTTCCATCTTCAAGCCTCAGGTCTGATACTCCTACTCGCGTTTTTAATTTCGACTTTGCATAGCGGTAAAACGCCTTTGGGTTTGACTTGACCTCGCTTGCAACCAGCCTCTGGAACTCCTTTTCAGTTCTTCTACACTCTGTCTTTGCTTGGTTTCTGGCTCTTGTATACATCTTCTTGTCCTGCTCATCGTTTGATCCAACCCACGCCTTGAATTTCTGGATTTTCTTCTGTACTTTATCGACTGCCGCGTGGTTCATGTGTAGGGATACCCTCGTTTTCCTAGAGGCACTGGGTTTAGTCTTGGGTATATATATATTTATCGATCAAATGGGTCACTTTGCTAGTTATAATATTCAGCATAGTGTGTGCGTTCTTGTGCCTTGACGAGTCAGGCCAGCTGATACCCCTCATCTCTTCCCTCATCCCATTTTAATTTCCCTTTTAATATTTGCACCTTAGCCTGGCCTTATCCTGAACTAGGAAACAGTTAAATCTGAATGACAACACTATATGGTGACTGGTGCCAACTGGGGCAAGGTGTTCCAGTTTGGCCACCATACCCTCCTCGTTTGTTATGATGAGGTCTACTGGCTTGGGTGTTTGCTCCCCTCTGTAATGTGTCGGGTCTCTAACATGTTGGAACAGAAAATTATCTCTCAGAGTTTCTACAAAAAGAGTAGCAGGGTTATTCAAGTCATTTGGGGTGGACTCGTTTCTCCAGTCGATGTCGCCATAGTTAAAGTTCCCCATGATAAGGAGGTGGCTAGGGTTGAGCATTGCCGCGTTGTCTATTAAGGCTCTTAAGTTCCTTTGATTTAGTGGGCCACAGTTTGGGGATCCGTAGATACACCCTACGATATAAGTCCCCTCCCTTTAATTTAATTTTACACCACTTGGAGCTCTTCAAAAACATACTCTCTCCCTGTACCCTTGCCTGGCTGGATCTAAGGTCTTGACTGTACAATAAATTTATTCGCTCATAATTTAAAATTCCCTGAGCATCCTGAAAATTTTAAATAATACCCGAGTCCCTAAGCGAGTACACAAAAGGAAACCGAAGGACTAAAACATCCTGAAGTGAATAGAGAACGGACATCTCTACTGGCAAACTCAAACGTTTCACATGTTTTGTGGGCGCTGTAGCGTAATATGAATAATTAAGTGTTGAACGGACAAACTGCACAAACGTGACCATGATACACGGACCCTCCTTTTCATCAGAAAATTCCAATACCTTTTCTTTAATGCAGCGTTGTACTCAGGTCTTTCTGTATAGTGTCACAGTCTCCCTTATGCTGTAACATATGTATAATCAGGATAGGGAAATAGAGCATTTACATAAAAAGTATATTAAACAATAATGGTTCCACACGTGCTGATAGCTTCCACAAAGTTTACATTAATATCAGGCTTATATCTTAATACAACAATATGCTCTCTCTCTACTTTACAAATATGCTTCACACATAGATTACAATATCTTATTTCTACCAGAAAACACTGGAATACCCTTGTAACCTCTGGGTTTTTTCACGATACAAAATACAATGTCCTTCACCAATAATATCCAGAGAGAGAGAGAGAGAGAGAGAGCTTCTTCTCCATGTTCCAATACGATTTCACTAACTTATCCACGTTTTGTTTACATTCTTCATTTAAACCACTGCAATATTCTCACATTGAAAACTGTTTCACAAAATCATATACTAATTTTTACCGCTGGACAGCGGTAATCATCGGAGTGATAAGAGTAGTGAAAGTAATGGGGAGTGATAGGAATTAATTTTGTTATGTACTACGCGACTAGACGCTGGCGAGTCAGCTCGTGTCTTAATGAGGAACAAGGCGTGTATATGCTGAATTCACTTGACGTTCACCCAGGCGGGCCAGGCCCCTGGACGATAACATACGGCAGTACCTAGCAACTGATCGCCTTAAACTCACCAAAGGCTCTCTGGTCCAAGCCAAACCTGCAACACGTAAGTGTGGAAAAAATATTGTGTTTCATTGTGGACGTGAAGAATATTAATTGAGTAACTTCTTGACTATATGCAGCTTATGTTGTGTTTCCTATTAAGATAATGTACTCACTTGTGCTAATATTGGGTGAATGTATTCATATATGATATGTCACTGAACCTTCAGTTTCCCTCTTGTAAATTGATTATTTGTATTTGACAGGTTTGATCGAAATAAACTGTATCGAGTTGACGAGGCAGGTTAATCTCCTTACCGGGCGTTCATAATGATGTTCTTTAATCATATCAGTTACTAAAACATCACAAATCAGAATAACAAAACATATATCACAAACTTAAGAAGACTTTAACTTTCACAGTGATTATAGGATTATAGGGTGTCAAGAGAAAACGAGACACTTAATGGGATAACTGAGGAAAACATAAGTACATAACAATAGTAAAAAGTAATTTTTATTAACCTCAGAATATATGTTAATATCAAGTGCACATGGCTGCCAAGAGACCTCAAAAAAGCCCGTGATATAGATCAGATTTCAAACACTTTTGTGAAGGGGGACTTACCGCCCCCCCCAAAAAAAAAAATGATAAAAAAAATAAAATAATAACTCAACTGGGTGGGCACTCTGTGCTCTCCATATTCCTCCACCCACAACTTCGTTCAACAGTATAGAGACATTACAGGTATATGGTTCAACGTGTATATAAAGAATGCAGGTATATAGTCCAAAATGTATATAGACAATGCAGGTATATAGTTCAACATGTATGTATACAACGCAGGTATACAGTTCAACATGTATATAGATAACGCAGGTATATAGTTCAACATGTATATATACAACGCAGGTATACAGTTCAACATGTATATAGATAACGCAGGTATATAGTTTAACATGTATATATGCAACGCAGGTATACAGTTCAACATGTATATAGATAATGCAGGTATATAGTCCAACATGTATATATACAACGCAGGTATACAGTTCAACATGTATATATACAACGCAGGTATATAGTTCAACATGTAAATAGATAACGCAGGTATATAGTTCAACATGTATGTAGACAACGCAGGTATACAGTTCAACATGTATATAGATAATGCAGGTATATAGTCCAACATGTATATAGTTCAACGCATATACAGTTCAACATGTATATAAAGAACGCAAATATAAAGTTCAACAACTTCAACATGTATAAAGACAACATGTATAAAGACAACGCAGGTATACAGTTCAGCATGTATAAAGACCCAGTTATTTTCTCTTTCCCAATAAAATACAAGTATATATGAAGTGGTTATTTTCTTAACTTTATCATAAATTTTGACCATTTTCTGTGAAAGCGTTGGTTTTCTTTGAACTCTTTGGTTCAAGACAAACTAAAGCAAATTACCTTGACATTGAATACCTTCCCCAGGGTGAGAATTGAGGTTAGTCAGTACAGTACACTCGTCCATCAAGATTTTAACATTATAATGAGGGTAATTGATGTAGTTATGGTTGTAGAGTTTAGCTGTGACTGTTAAACCCCTCGTCTTAACGTTTGATGCAAGTGGATTCAGTAGGCCAGACAGTTGGGATACATTGTGGGGTTTCGTGATGTTATCTCACACTCAGGATAGGTTGGAGAAAGGAAACTCACAATGCGCTTTCTGTATACATATTGCATTGGATGTACAGTGCAGCTTGGTGCTGGGAAGTGGCAGAGTGGTTACAAGCGTGGAGTAGAGAACTGGTTGGTGAGGTGCGTGCTCAGAGGAGGTTGTAGGGTTATGAGATTTTGGTTCACAATCAGGATGGGATGGAGAAAGAAAACTCACAATGTGCTCTCTGTATACATATTGTATTGGATATACAATGCAGCTTGTTGCTGGGTAGGTAGCATGGTAATAAGCGTTGAGTAGAGAGAGCTGGGTGGTGAGGGTGCCCAGAGGAGGGACACGCGGCTTGAGGACGCCAAGGTCGCTGGCGGGAACGGCAGCCGCCAGGCTGGCGCGGAGGAGGAGGTGTTGCTTGCTGGTGGCACTGGGTAGAAAAGAGAGACTAGTTGCGTGCTTGTTAGGCAGGCGGCGCTAGTAGCCGACCTTAGACCACGAGGCGTTGGCGGGGAATTCTAAAAGGGGTAGGCTAGTCAGCGACAAACGGCAGTTGTAGTGGTAGGGAAAAATTTCCACTACAACATTACACTTAATAAAGCCTAGCCCAGGTCCACTCGCCACAGTCTTCAATTTACAAACTTCATCTAAATCAAACCTTAGAATATATCAATAGTCGAAGTGATAAGATGATTGTAAAACTTCTACTTTTATACTTTTACTGTACCAAGCGGTTAATGAGCCGATCGGTCTACAGCTGCTAGGGACTCTGAAGAAGTGTGTCAAAGAGATGGCAACTAGCAGACCTACTGTTATGGGAGAGGAGGAACAACTAGAACGTTTCCAAAGCAGGAACAACATAATAGTTTATGGAGTCTCTGAGAGCCAGTCGGAAGAAGCTGAGAGTAGGAAAACACACGACAAGATGAAGTTTGAAAATATTTGTACAGAGGCCCTGAACAAGCTATCCCCCCCATGTCATGATCGTGATAATGGCGAACCTGAAAACCTTAAGGATTCATATTACGCTCAAACGTCCACAAAACCTTCTGAGTCCCCCAGTGGAAACGTCCCCCGTTTTCTCTGTTTCCCCGTCTTTGTTTGTAGGGAACTTTGAATATAATCCACGGATTTCGTAGCAGACGCTGTATGTTGGGACCTGTTGCCATCCAACCCTTTGTAATCAATTTAATTTTGCTTTTGATAGCTGAGTCAGAGCATTGTTAGTGAAGATAATAGTAGGGAATGAAACTGAGTTTATAGTCTCAGTTTCAACGTCAGAGTGTACAGTAAATTAATTCATCGGAATAGAAGTAGGTGGACTCCTGGCCTATTTTGAGTGAGGGCGCCAGAGTTGCCAACTTAGCGACTTTGTAGCTAGATCTAGAGCTTTTTGTTTTTTTCTAGCGACATTTTAGAGCGATTTGCGACTTGTCGCAAATCTAGAGATATCCACAGAAATCTAGCGACTTTCTGGATACTTTTGGACTGTCCATGAAAACTCAGTTTTCCTAATTTCGAGCCATAATATATAGCAACGGGGTTACAGGGACAATAAATAATAAGAAAAGTTTAATACATTTGAACGGGTCGTGGTACAGAAGGAGGGACACGTCTATTTCCTGATCACTTGATGTCAGCCCGTCCATGGCTAATGTTGCCGTGTCGTCATTTATTTGTCTATTACCTTCGCCTTTGTAGCACCTGGGTAACTTACCTTTTTGTCAGATATGCAATATGAATTTCATTAATACGCTAAATTTTAAAGAATATTGGCAAAACATCTTATAGAATTAATTCTATCAAGCCTGCGTGGTTCCAAACTTGTCATCAGTGCGAGTTCAATCCCTACCATTACTAACCAACACATGATGGCGTTCATTATCCCAACCACAGTACTATCAGTCACGACATTAAAAACTACGCTCTGCTACCATTTGTAACCGGTCGGAATTTACTGGACTTTAATTTCTCACTTGACTTGGGGTTTATTAAAAATTAATAGATGGTAATGGCAGTGGAAGCGCCCCTTTGAGAAAAATCCCGAACCAGCACAAGAACACTTAAATCTACTAAACAAAATGAATTGTCCGTGACCCGTGGAAGGATAGCGTCTGTGACTGGGATGAATGAGACACACTGTAAAATTTAGACACTTATATTCCCTCCAACACTACAAACACAATCAAATAATGGTACACCAATATGCGCACCTCTTAACTTAAACTTAAAACACTACTCTGGGGAATAAAAGTTATACATGATATAGAAATTATTAGAAACACAGGCAACAATAAATTTGAAGTATTAAGAAATGTTGCTTGCACACATGAACAGGCCTTAAGGGCTTTCACAAAATAATATCAGTCACTTAGGAAATGGTATTAAAAATAAGAAATTAACTACTCTACAATGAATAGGCCTTAAGGGCTTTCAACAAAATAATATCAGTCACTGAGGAAATGGTAATAAAAAATAAGAAATTAAATACTCTACAATGAATAGGCCTTAAGGGCTTTCAACAAAATAATATCAGTCACTGAGGAAATGGTAATAAAAAATAAGAAATTAAATACTCTACAATGAATAGGCCTTAAGGGCTTTCAACAAAATTATAGCACCCCAACAGATGCACACTTCCTAACCTAACTTAACCACTACTCTGGGGAACAAGGTTATACCTGAGATCAGAATTATGAAGAACAATTAGATGCATTAAAAGAATCAAATCACAGGATCACTCTGGTTCCACTTAATGGCACAAACATTCAAAAACAATACTATCAAAATTATTTAGGACTATTAAACTACACACGTCAAGATAATATCAGTCTGAGGAATGGTGTTAACTACACCCGTAATAAGGGAGGGAAGATGTTCCTCTAGGTATCTCCTAGAGACCTAGACTCACGGTCTCAGTGTGTGACCATTAGTTTACTCAGATAGCCTCAGTGTACTCCCAGTGCGTCCATAAAGCGGAAGGGAGTGAGCCAATCAGACCTTGTACAGTTGAGAGAAACTTTAGCTTCCCGTTAGCAAGAGGGTTTCACTAAGCTGCTCGGGACATGTGGTGTTGTGCACCCGAGTGGTAAGAACTGATCACCCACTGTGGATGCTGGTCCCGTCGTTTTAGTTGTCGGAAGCACTCGTTCACTCAAGAGATCCTTTGCTACCCCGCTAAACAGTGACAGGCCTACACTGATCGGTCCAATGGCGACAATCGCCACCCTCAATCATCAACGGCAGTCTCAAACGGCAGTCAATCTCTCGCAGTCAACTCCGGTCAACTCCGGTCAACTCCAGTCAAGTGGGTTCTGACGGAAACCCTGAAATGAACTCACTGTTAGCTCTAGTTTACTTTACCACTGCCCTATCTAACCCTGTCTGAGATCGAATGAGACTTACTTGTTATACTGCAATAGCGCAGCACAGGTGACTAGGCCACGTGACTATTTCTGATGGACGCGCGGAACGTCTTGTCTGTGTGAATGCTCTCCGGGACTGGGCCTAGCCAGCGTCGCGTCTCCCCAAGGCGCTAGCTTGGGCCTACGTGATATATTTTCCGCCTAACTAATAACTCCTTGGGACACCCGTAACATTATTCAGACTGCTAAACGATCTATAATAATTTCAAATTCAATAATAGTCCCTTAACTTCATGAATCGCATCATTATTAATTCGGTAAATCACATTTAATATCATATAGGCCTAGTTCCGCAATCTCTCGCTACGAGCAGGCAGCGCTCCCTCCCCTCAGATGACCTTGAACGCTCAGTATCACTCATGGCGGGGCATTTGAAATTACTCTGAAATTTCTGAATATTATATATATATATATATATATATATATATATATATATAAAGAAAATGCCATTGTGATTTTCCTTTCTCACCTCCATCCTGGTTGCGAGATCTCCCTTATTGTACGTGTGTATGTGGCCAGAACAAAGAGAATTGACATGCACAAAGAGAAATTAGACAACTGGCCACATACACAACGCCGCAGTTGCACCCCACTCTAGAAGATCGTTACGAAGGACGGACCGTCTAGACATCTGAACTACCTTCTTATAAGACCTACTTATTTATTTACCTGATTCACCTTCTTCTCACAATGGCTCGAGAACTTTGGTTCATTGTCAGCATATACACACAGGTCCTTTTTCACTTTCGGTTTCTATATATGCAGTTTTTTCGTTCCGTTGGAATATGTTGTTGATGCACAGTGCACCATATACCTGCATTGTCTATACTGTATACATATTGTGAGAGGTTGGAGTCATAGACCACGTTCTTTGTAGACTTTATTCTAACAGCGTCAGCTGGTGACTGGCAACCGGGCGCTGCCAAAGACAAGCCCCCATCTCAACATGGGAAAACATATCGTACGATGGTACAATCTTACATCTCCCCCCCAAGTTAAAAGGAAATGACAATGCACATTTGAACTAACAAAAGGAAAACAATGCATTCATAAAAACAACAATAATGCAGGAAAAACCAGTCAAACAAAGGAAAAAAAAACAAAAAAAAACCCTCTAAACTGATTTTACATCACATACACTACACCACGTAGTCCGTCAACCAGCCCGGAGGCCTACGGCCTCTCCTGGGCCTGGCCGCGCTCGACTGGGGAGGGGCCGTGGGTGCGAAGGAGGGCGCGGGTGCGGAGGGCACAGCAGAAGGGGGGCCAGGAGGCACAGCTTGGTGCACCACCGGAGTAGTAGGCACAGGTGTGGAGCCGTTTCGCAGGTGGCGTCTGTTGCGGATGGACACCCTGCCACTGCCACTCAACCTGACGGCATACTGCCTGTGAGGGCGGGCTTCCACCACTATGCCTGTCCTGTCCCAGAGCTTGGTAGCTGCGTCCTGCACACACACCTGCGTGCCTACGACTAGGGGAGCCAGCTGGCGGGATACCTCCCTCCGCGACAGGACCCCATCCTGGGTTTCGGCCAAGCGCACCTCCCTCATACGAAGTGCCCGCCGCCAGTGCTGGTCCACCTTATAGTGCTGTCCGGCCACGGGAACGCCGTCACGGAGCTGGTGGCCGGTGGCAAGTTGGGCGGGCGACTTGTTCACCCCCCCGCAGAGGCGTGTTCAGGTACTGGAGGAGGGCCTGGGATGTCCTATCGCAGTCCAGGCTACCCCCGGGCCCAGTGTTATCCCTGAGGAGCCTCTTGGCAGCCTTGACCCCAGCCTCTGCCCTGCCATTGGATTGGGGGAAGTGGGCCGACGAGAGGCGCACCTCGACCCCCCATGACTTGAGGAAATCTGTCATCTCAAGGCTGGCAAGGTTGGTACCTCCATCCGTGGAGATCTGCTCAGGTACCCCCCACCTCGTGAAGTAGGCCCGCAGACTGGCGATGATTTTTCCAGAGGTGGCCTCGTTGGGGAAGTGGGCGATCTCCAGCCAACCTGTCAGTCGGTCAGCATATGCTAGGTACGTGCGGCCCTGCAGGTGGAACAAATCGGCCACCACTTGTTGAAAGGGATAGTCTGGCGCTGGGGTCAGAACCAACGACTCCGGAGGCTGGGAAGGGGCGTGGGTCTCGCAAGCAGCACACCGGGACCGATGATACTGCAGGTCACCCTCCATGCCAGGCCAATAGACAGACTGCCGGGCCCGCCTGAGCATTGAGTCGAGGCCCTGGTGCCCCACATGCAGGTTAACGGCGACCCGGTGGCGGAGGGAGTCGGGGATGACAAGGCGCACGCAGCCCTGGTCAAAGGTGTAGGTGACCAAACCCCTGACCACAGCCAACCTGTCCCTCACCGAGAAGTACGGGCGCAGACAGGCCACCTCCTGTGACTTGTGGGGGTGCCAGTCGCCCGCCAGCACCCTCGACACTAGAATCTGGTACACTGGGTCGTCCGCAGCCGCTTTGCACACTGTGTCTTCGTCCATAGTGATGCACCCATCCTGATC